GGGGGTTTTCCCCGTAAAAACAGGGATTTTCTCCTCACCTTTTTATTGCTGTCTGGGCCGAGTTGGTTTTTATTTCTTGATTTGAATTTTTTATGTTGAGTCTTTGATTTTTTTTTTTTTTATATCTCTGATTTTGTGATTTCTTCTGATTTTTTTCTCCCCCCAACCTTCCAGGTTTGATGACAAATACACCCTGAAGCTGACCTTCATCAGCGGGAAAACCAAACAGCAGAGGGAAGCCGAGTTCACCAAATCCATCGCCAAATTCTTCGACGCCAACGGGACGTTGGTGATGGAAGCCTACGAGCCCGAGGTCTCCAAGCTCCACGACAGCCTGGCCCTGGAGAAGAAAATCAAGTGATTTTTCATTTTTTTTCCGGGGAAGCGCTAAATTAAGGCCAATAAAGAAAAAAAAAGAAAAAAAAGCAAAGAAAACCAATCCTCGCCTCTGTTTTTTTGGGGGGGGGTTTTGTTTGGTTTTTTTTTTTTTTTTCCGTAAAAACAGGGATTTTCTCCTCACCTTTTTATTGCTGTCTGGGCCGAGTTGGTTTTTATTTCTTGATTTGAATTTTTTATGTTGAGTCTTTGATTTTTTTTTTTTTTATATCTCTGATTTTGTGATTTCTTCTGATTTTTTTCTCCCCCCAACCTTCCAGGTTTGATGACAAATACACCCTGAAGCTGACCTTCATCAGCGGGAAAACCAAACAGCAGAGGGAAGCCGAGTTCACCAAATCCATCGCCAAATTCTTCGACGCCAACGGGACGTTGGTGATGGAAGCCTACGAGCCCGAGGTCTCCAAGCTCCACGACAGCCTGGCCCTGGAGAAGAAAATCAAGTGATTTTTCATTTTTTTTCCGGGGAAGCGCTAAATTAAGGCCAATAAAGAAAAAAAAAGAAAAAAAAGCAAAGAAAACCAATCCTCGCCTCTGTTTTTTTGGGGGGGGGTTTTGTTTGGTTTTTTTTTTTTTTGTCCTGAAATCCTTGGGGGTTTTTGTTTTGTTTTTTTTTTTGGTTTTTTTGGGTTTTTGTCCTGAAATCCTTGGGGACCAATGCAATTTTTAATCATAGAATTAATTGCATCTTGGAGATGAGATGTTTTTGGGGCTGTTGGAAAATCTCAGGTTTGGTTTTTCCACTCCGGGGTCGACGAGGGAGAAGGATTTGTCCTCGGGGACCCTCACGAGGGGAAAACTTTGTCACCAAAACCATCCCCTCTTCCTGCCTCGTTACCCGGCGGCGCTTTAACGAACCCCCTCCCTGCCATGGAGTGTCTGGATGTGGGGGGGGGACACACACACCCCCCTATAATGTCACTTTTTCCCTTTTCCGTTAGGAATTCAGGACAAAATCCTTCTGGCAAACAGGTTTTCTTTATTTTTGTATTTT